AGCATGCAGAACTCCCATGACCAACAGAAAATACTGGGTTTGGTGGGCATTGACCTTGAGTTTTGGAGTTGTAGTTCACCTACATCCAAAGAGCACTGTGGACTCAAACAATGATGGATCTGGACCAAACTTGGCATGAATTCTCAATATGCGCAAATGTGAACACAGGTGGAGTTTGGGGAAAATAGTCCTTGACATTTGGGAGTTATAGTTGCTGGGATTTATAGTTCAATTACAATCAAAGAGCATTCTGAACTCCATCAACGATAGAATTGGGCCAAAGTTCTCCCACAGAACCCCCATGACCAACAAAAAATACTGTTTTCTGATGGTCTTTGGCGACTCCTCTGACACCCCCACACAAAATCCACAAGTATGTAGACGATTTCAACAGAAAGGAAAAAAACATGAAAATGAACAAAATATGGCTGCCAGTATTTAAAAAAATCTAAATTTATAACAGCAAATAAAGAACAACATTCAAGCACAGGGGAACTCCAAACAAGAAACAATCAGGGACAGCTAATCACCTCTCAACAAAGGATTCCCAGGCAGAAACAAGCCACACCTAAAAACTGTCAGGCCATCAAAAGCTAATCAAGGTGCCAGTTGAAACATTCACACCTGCCTCCAACAGACAAGAGTTCTGGACATTATTCCACACTCTGGACATTATTCCACAGATATATATTTTTTTGTCGTGTCAGGAGTGACTCCTGGTGTGAGAGAATTGGCCGTCTGCAAGGACGTTGCCCAGGGGACGCCTGGATGATTTGATGTTTTTATCATCCTTGTGGGAGGCTGGAGCTGATAGAGGGAGCTCACCCGCCTCTCCCTGGATTCGAACCTGTGACCTGTCAGTCTTCAGTCCTGCTGGCACAGGGGTCTAACCCACTGTGCCACCGGGGGCTCCTATTCCACAGATATATAAACCCAATTTTCCTAGTTTCCAACAGACCTCACAGCCTTTGAGGATGCCTTTAGCCATAGATGCAGGCGAAACGTCAGGAGAGAGTGCTTCTAGAACATGGCCATATAGCCCGAGAAACCTACAGCAACCCAAGTGTTGCTATTATGTTCCCCACTGTCCCCTCTTAAGCAAGATTCAAGTCAGGTTTTGCATTGTTCCTTTTCCAAAACAAACAGTCCAGCTGGTTGCGATCTACCTGATAGCCGGACGCAATTTGGCTTTTATGATTCTTTTGAGCTGAGCCAATCCGGTTTTGCAAAAGTCCCTGAAATGCCAGGAGAGACCTTCACGTGATCCCTCTGGACTCATAAACATGTCCATGCTTGGAGACGGCTTTTTATCTGTTGAGCACAGCCAAACGAGTGGAACCGACAGGTAAGTGGACGCTAGCTGCAGACCATTTCCTCGCCTGGGGTTCTTTCCAAGCACGATCAATCAGGTTCAGGACCTGTTTCTGAAATTGTGGTATGAGAGAGGGGTGAAAGTACACCAGGGCAATGTTTACCATGAGAGCGCCTCCATGTGCACCGAGATATTAAGCCCTACTAGGAGTCTGAGTTAGCCGAAAAAGGTGTGTTTTGTGAATCGGGATGGCCATTTATCACACTGTATTTTTTTATTATTTGTGATCTTCTCTTACCTCTTGCTTCATAATGGACTCAACATGTTTTGTGTCTTGATGTAGTGATGGAAGGGATTAGCTACTAATGATCTTAGGTCAGTGTTTCTCAACCTTCCTAATGCCGAGATCACTTAATACAGTCCCTTGTGTTATGGTGACCCACAACCACAACAATATTGTACTGTCGAAGGCTTTCATGACTGAAATCACTGGATTGTTGTAGGTTTTTTGAGTTATATGGCCATGTTCTAATGAATGCTTGCCATAGATTAGCGTTTCTCAACCTGGAGGTCGGGACCCCTGGGGGGGAGGGTCATGAGGAGATGTCAGAGGGGTCACCAAAGACCATCAAAAGACACAGTGTTTTCTGTTGGCTATGAGGGTTCCATGTGGGAAATTTGGCCCAATTCTATCGTTGCTGGGGTTCAGAATGCTCTTTAAGTGAACTATAAATCCCAGCAACTACAACTTCCAAATGTCAAGGTCTCCACCAGTGTTCACATTTGGGCACATTGAGTATCCATGCCAAGTTTGATCCAGATCCATCATTGTTTGAGTCCACAGTGCTCTCTGGATATAGGTGAACTACAACTCCCAAACTCAAGGTCAATGCCCACCAAACCCTTCCAGTATTTTCTGTTGGTCACAGGAGTTCTGTGTGCCAAGTTTGGCTCAATTCCCTCATTGGTGGAGGTTAGAATGCTCTTTGATTGTAGGTTAACTATAAATCCCAGGAACAACAACTCCCAAATGACAAAATCAATTATCTCCCCCCCCCCAAAAAACCCCCACCAGTATTCAAATTTGGGCATATCGCGTATTTGTATCAAATACATCCTGCATATCAGATATTTATATGATGATTCATAACAGTAGCAAAATTATTTACTACTCTTATATACCGCCGTTTCTCAGCCTACAATGGCGACTCAACGCGGTTTACATCACTAAAATAAGCAACAATATACAATTTAAAAGCATAAAAACATAAAAACATATATCATAAAACAGTATTGGGCCACCAATACAATCGAAGCATCTCTTAACTAAAAAACATAATCCAATCTCATCGTCCGTGATTGCCGATCCTTGGTCATTAACTTCGTTGCATTAAAATTAACCAAATGCTTGTTGAAACATCCATGTTTTTAGTTTTTTCCTAAATGCCATCAATGAAGAGGCAGATCTTATCTCTACAGGGAGGGCATTCCAAACTCTACACGAATACTCAATATTACAGCAAAATTACAGTGTGAAGTAGCAATGAAAATAATTTTGTGGTTGGGGGTCACCACAACACACGGAACTGTATTAAGGGGTCGCGCATTAGGAAGGTTGAGAAACACTGCCATAGATGCAAGCGAAACGTCAGGAGGGAATGCTCCTAGAACATGGCCATATAGCCCGAAAAATCTACAACCCATAACATTATTTTCGTTGCTATTTCATAACTGTAATTTTGCTACTGTCATGAACTGTAATGTAAATATTTGATATGCAGGATGTATTTTCATTCACTGGACCAAATTTGGCACAAATATCCAATACGCCCAAATTGGAATACTGGTGGGGAGGGGTTGATTTTGTCATTTGGGAGTTGTACTTGCTGAGATTTATAGTTTGCCTACAATCAAAGAGCATTCTGAACTCCACCAACGTTGGAATGGAACCAAACTTGGCACACAGAACTTCCATGACCAATAGAAAATATTGGAAAGCTTTGGTGGGCATTGACCTTGAGTTTTGGAGTTGTAGTTCACCTACATCCAGAGAGCCCTGTGGACTCAAACAGTGATGGATCTTGACCAAACTCTACACGAATACTCAATATGCCCAAATGTGAACACTGCTGGAGTTTGAGGAAATTAGATTTTGACTTTTGAGAGTTGTAGTTGCTGAGATTTATAGTTCGCCTTCAATCAAAGAGCATTCTGCACCCCACTAAAGATGGAATTGGGCCAAATTTCCCACACAGCATCCCGATGACCAATATAAAATACTGTGTTTTCTTATGGTCTTTGGTGACCCCTCTGACACCATCTTCATGACCCCCAGGTTGAGAAACGCTGTCTTAGGCTTTCTCATTTTCTAGAACTGCTGACCTGTATATATATATATATATATATATATATATATATATATATATAGTTAACTGGCCCCACTGATGTGCTGGTTTGAACCAGTGCACGTGTGAGTGGGATCCAGAGCAGTGCCAATTGGCTTCCAGTGCCCAGGCAGTCAGGGAGAAGGGAGGGAAAAATCAAACTTAGACAATGTTAGAAATTGGAATTGTTACTGTATAAAAATAGTTGCACATCACAGTACATTTAGGCTTGTACATTTTGGCACTCACTGCTGTACATTGCATCCAATCTGCAGATGGAACAAAACCTCTGTTGTTTGCTTTCAACGGGTGAGTCCTAACTTCTTCTTGGAACTTTGGTGGTTAGCGAGCCTCACCAGGCACAGGTCCTCGATATCCACGATCCTTAGAAATCTAAATTTCGACTTCATACCCACTAACCAGGAAGTAAGTCCAACTGAATGGAATGAGAGTTAATTCTAAATACAGTTGGAATAAAGTCAGCCTTCCACGTTCTCTGGAGTTAGGACCCTGATGGAAGCAAACAGTTATTACAAGAAATTGCTATGATTTTACCTAAGAGAACGCTTCTCTAGGGATTCAAGGTCTCCCCTCATGACTCTCTCCATGGTCAACTTTGATTGGAAGCACCGGGCCACCTGGAAATTCATAGAGAGGTGTTCTCCCTGGAAATGCCTAGGTCCTGTAGCATAATTGGCGGACGTTGACCATGGAGTCAAACTGGAGGAACGAGACATCCCTAGAGAGAACATTTTAGATCAAACCCATGAATAATCAAATCTGCAAAATTGAAAACATCCAGTGTTGTCGAAGGTCCATGTCAGTTCTTTCTCTTTCACCTTTTTCCACTTTGTTGGGGGGTCTCATTTACCTAACCTGGACCCTCTTCTGCATCCCTTCCCTTGGATGTTGTCAGACTACAAATCCCATTATCCTTACTCCACTGATCAAGATAGTATTCTTTTTCCATTGGCCATGACAGGTAGGCTTTATGGGGGTTATCTAACCTGGACACTCTCCTGCACCCCTCCCTTGGATGTTGTCAGACTACAAATCCCATTATCCTTACTCCACTGATTAAGATAGTATTCTTTTTCCATTGGCCATGACAGGTAGGCTTTATGGGGGTTATCTAACCTGGACACTCTCCTGCACCCCTCCCTTGGATGTTGTCAGACTACAAATCCCATTATCCTTACTCCACTGATTAAGATAATATTCTTTTTCCATTGGCCATGACAGGTAGGCTTTATGGGAGTTCTAGACTAACAACACCTGGAGGGCCACCAATATCCCACTTCAGCTTCCAGCTCTGGGTGAAAAGAGTGATCCTAAGCAATCCTAAAGCTTTCAATCAGCTGTTTACATAATGGTCAGCAAAGCTGGAAGATGTATAGACACTGCCCCCTGTGGTGAGCTATTGAATTGCAGGTAATAATGTCTTGCAGAAGTACAGGTGACCCTCCACATTCTATGAGGTTAGGGCCACAGGACCTGTTTGAAAGTTTTTAAAGGGATACATGGAGGTTGCTATTTTAGGACATCTCTCTAGGAACTTCTAGGTCTTCGAGAACAATATGTGGTCAACTTTTGCTGGAAGCTTGACCATAACATGGCATTGGAATGACCTAGAGCAGTGGTTCTAATCTGTGGGTCCCTGGGTGTTTTGGCCTACAACTCCCAGAAAGCCCAGCCAGTTTACCAGCTGTTAGGATTTCTGGGAGTTGAAGGCCAAAACATCTGGGAACCCACAGGTTGGGAACCACTGACCTAGAGGTTCTCACAAAGATGTTCTCTTCCAAAAATCTGTAGACCTTCCTGCATGGTTGGAGAACATTGGCCATATACTGACATTGGAGGACCTAGAGATTCCTAGGGAGAATATTTTTGAATCACATCCATGAATAATGAAATCCACAAATTGCAAATGTGATGGATCAGTAGTTCTCAACCTGTAGGCCCCCAAGTGTTTTGGCCTACAACTCCCAAAAATCCCAGCCGGTTTAGCAGCTGTTAGGATTTCTGGAAGTTGAAGGCCAAAACATCTGGGGACCCACAGGTTGAGAACCACTGTTCTAGATGGTCATTGAGGGCCTCCTAAGCTCACTATATAGATCTAGATGGTCCTTGAGGGCCTCCCAAGGTCATAATATAGATCTAGATCAGTGGTTCTCAACCTGTGGGTCCCCAGGTGTTTTGACCTACAACTCCCATAAATCCCGTCCAGTTTACCAGCTGTTAGGATTTCTAGGAGTTGAAGGCCAAAACATCTGGGGACCCACAGGTTGAGAACCGCTGTGGTGGTTCAACTATACAGCACAACCCCCACATCCATGGGGGATATATTCCTGGACTTTATACGGATACATGAAGCCATATGAAAAGGAAGGCGTGGTCAGCAATGGACCCATGACAATGGAATGGAATTGCCCATTCCATCTTCTACTCGTCAGCTAATTCTATGCAAATACTTCATTTTCTAACCTTTGTTAGTGATAGTAAATTAATTGCTGTTTAACAGTACAAGGATAAGGAAACGATGGTCCTACAGATGGTGATGAAAGATGATTCCCATTATTCCTCACCATTCTTCATCCTGTTGGTAGGGCTGATGGAATTGGAGTCCAACAATATCTGGACCAATGGTTCTCAACCTTTGGTGCTTCAGGTGTTTTGGATTCATAACAGCTGGACTTCAACTTTCTGGGAGTTGAAGTCCAAAACACCTGGAGGTCCAAAGGTTGAGAACCACTGGTCTGAAGGACCACCATTTGTGATGGTCTCAGAGCCACACTTGGTGATAACCAATATCTTAGGTAGGTTCTCTCGACTCACTATCTGTGTCCTTTACTTTTCTTCCCAACAGTGATTAGATTTCAGGTCCTGAAAACATCGCAACCATGTTTATGGGAAATGAGAACATCATCTCAGTGGCCGAGGCCCTTATTGCATTAGTTGTGTTTTTCCTGGTCTTCAGCATCACTAGATCGTTTTGGAAGCGAACACCCCCTGGGCTGAAGAGACTCCCGGGACCGGTGGCATACCCCCTGATTGGCAACATAGTCGAAATGGGCAAGAACCCCCACTTAAGTTTCAGTCAGATGAGAAGGAAATATGGAGATGTCATGCAAGTGCACATTGGGATGAGACCAGTGCTGGTCCTGAGTGGTCTGGAGACCATCAAGCAGGCCTTGGTGAAGCAAGGGGAGGAGTTCATGGCACGGCCCGACCTCTATACTTTTAGCATGATTGCTGAAGGTCAGAGCTTAACGTTTGGGAGGGATTCGGAGGCCGTGTGGAGAGTTCGCAAGAAAGTTGCCCAGAATGCCTTGAAGTCCTTCTCCAGCGCTCCCAGCCTCACCTCGGCCTCTAGTTGCATTGTGGAGGAACATGCCACCCAAGAAGCCAGCTATTTGGTCACCAAGTTGCTCCAGGTGATGAAGGAAAAGGGCCGGTTTGAACCTTACCAGTACATGGCAATCTCTGTGGTCAACATCATTTGCGCCATCACTTTTGGCAAGCGCTACAGTCACGACGACGAGGAATTGCTCGGCATCATCCACCTCATGGATGAAGCTGATAAGGTGGCTGGGTTGGGCAACCTGGCTGATTTCATCCCAGTGCTCCAGTACCTGCCGAACCCACTGATGAAGAAGTTTAAGGTCTTAGTCGTGAACTTCCAGGCTTTCCTACAGAAGAATGTCAACAAACACTATGAGTCATTCAACAAGGTAAAGGGTTGGAAGCTTCTAGGGCTGACGTTTCTTGTTCTGCCACATAACATCTCTTTGGAAATGCTGCTCCAGAACATAGGACATGAACTAAAGGGCTCACGTTACAAAAAAAGACATTCCACTCAACATGAGAAAGAACTTGCAAGAGCGATTAGTAGTTAGATATGGTGTCACCCTCCTCCGGTACCCAGACCATACCATAATAGGTAAAAGTTTTCTCCTGACATTAAGTCCAGTCATGTGGGACTCTGGGGGTTGGTGCTCATCTCCATTTCTAAGCCAAAGAGCCGGCGTTGTCGTAGACACCTCCAATGTCATGTGGCCGGCATGACTGCATGGAGCGCCCTTACCTTCCTGCTGGGGCTGATGGTGGAAGCTCACGCTGCTCCCCGGATTTGAACCTGCAACCTTTACAGTCAACAAGCTTAGCAGCTCAGTACTTTAACCCGGGGGCTCCTACCATAATATTGTTGTTAAAATATTTATTTGTTTGCTGTGGCCTTGGCTGGTGATTTTGGAAATAAAATGGTGCAGAGAGGCAGCGCAGGGGTTAGGATTAGGATTAGGGTTCGGGTTAGGGAATTGAACCAAACTTGACCACACAGAACCTTCATGAACAACACAAAATAGGGGAAGGGTTTGGTGATTATTGACCTTAAGTTTGGGAGTTGTAGTTCACTTATATCCAGAGAGCACTGTGGAATCTAACAATGATGGATCTGGACCAAATGAATACTGAAGCCCAAATGTGAACAGTGGTGGAGTTTAGGGAAATAGACCTTGACATTTGGGAGTTGTAGCTGCTGGGATGTATAGTTCCCCTGCAACCAAAGAGCATTCTGAACTCCACCAACAATGGTAATGAACCAAACTTGACACACAGAACTCCCATGATCAACAGAAAATACTGGAAGGATTTGGTGGGCATTGACTTTGGGTTTTTGGGTTGTAGTTCACCTATATCCAGAGAGCACTGTGGACTCAAACAATGATGGATCTGGACTAGACTTGGCACGAGTACTCAGTATGCCCAATTGTGAACACTGGTGGAGATTGGGGAAAATAGACCTTGAAATTTGGGAGTTGTAGTTGCTGGGATTTATAGTTCACCTACAATCAAAGAGCATTCTGAACCCCACTAGTGATGTAAGTAGGCCAAACTTCCCACAAAGAATCCCCATGACCAACACAAAATACTGTGTTTTCTGATGGTCTTTGACAACCCCTCTGGCACCACCTCGTGACCCCCGCCATGGGTCCTGACCCCCAAGTTGAGAAACGCTGGGATAAAGCCAGCAATTTGCATTGTGTTTAGTAGCAAACTGGCAGCCAGTGGAGCTGACGTAACAGGGGGGTTGTATGCTCCCTGAGTGCCACTCCAGTGAGCAACCAGACTGCCGCTCGTTGGACAAGTTGAAGCTTCCAGTCTTCAAAGACAACCCCATGTAGAGCGCATGCAGTAGTCTATACGGGATGTAACCAGAATGTGGACCTCCGTGGCTAGGTCAGACTTCCCAAAGTACAGGCACAACTGGCACACAAGTTTTAATTGTGCAAAAGTTCCCCTGGCCACTGCCAGAACCTGGGGTTCCAGGCTCAACGATGAATCAAGAAAATTGGCCAAAATCAGCAACTAGAAAACACCTAAACAGAAATGAAAACCACGGTGCTGCTATAATTGTCCAGTGTCAGGATGGTGAATTGTGCTTTTTGTATTGTTGAAGGCTTTCACGGCTGGAATCACTGGGTTGTTGTAGATTTTTCGGGCTATATGACCTTGTTGTTGAAGCATTCTCTCCTGACATTTCGCCTGCATCTGTGGCAAGCATCCTCAGAGGTTGGGAGGTTTGTTGGAAACTAGGAACATTGGGTTTATATCTATATAAATAAAAATGTAATGTTCGTTTGCGGGATTAACAGAAGTCAAAAACCACTGGACGAATTGGCAACAAATTTGTCCACTAGACACCTACTAACCCAAGGAGTGACCATCACTCATGACCCCTCCCCCCTCTAAAAAAGTGGAAAGGACTTAAAAACCCCCAAAAGCTAAATGATGAAAAGTTAAATGGCAATATAGGAAAAAAAGGGAAGGGAGGGGAGGGGAGGAAGGGAGAAAGGAAGGAAGGAAGGAAGGAAGGAGAGAGGGGGGGAAGAAAGAAGGAAAGAGAGAAGGAAGCATGGAAAGAGGTAAGGAGGAAGAAAGAAGAGAAGAGAAGAGAGAAGGAAGGAAGAAGAAAGAGGAGGGAAGGAAAGAGAAGGAAGGATGGAAGCAAAAAGCAAAGGATGGAAGAAAAGAGGTAGAGAAGGAAGAAAGGAGAGAGAGGGGGAGGGAAAGAAAGAAGGAAAGAGAGAAGGAAGCATGGAAGGAAAGAAAGAGGAAGGAAGGAAAGAGGTAGAGAAAGGAGAGAAGGAAAAAAGAAAAGGAAGGAATAAGGAACGAGAGAAAGAAAGAGGGAAACAAAAAGCGAAGGATGGAAGAAAAGAGGTAGAGAAAGGAGAGAAGGAAAAGGGAAGAAAGGAAAGGGAGGGAAGGAAAGAGAAGGAAGGATGGAAGCAAAAAGCGAAGGAAGAAAGGAAAGAGGTAGAGAAGGAAGGAAGGAGAGAAAGAGGGGGAGGGAAAGAAAGAAGGAAAGAGAAGAGAGAAAAAGGCAGAGAAGGAAGAAAGGAAAGAAAGATGCAGAGAAGGAAGAAGACAAAGAGGTAGAGAAGGAAGAAATGAAAGAGGTAGAGAAGGAAGAAAGGAGAGAAAGAGGCAGAAAAGGAAGAAAGGAGAGAAAAAGGCAGAGAAGGAAGAAAGGAGAGAAAAAGGCAGAGAAGGAAGAAAGGAGAGAAAGAGGCAGAGAAGGAAGAAAGGAGAGAAAAAGGCAGAGAAGGAAGAAAGGAGAGAAAGAGGCAGAGAAGGAAGAAAGGAGAGAAAAAGGCAGAGAAGGAAGAAAGGAGAGAAAGAGGCAGAGAAGGAAGAAAGGAGAGAAAGGAAGGAAGGAGAGAAGGAAGAAAGGAGAGAAAGAGAGGGGAGAGGGAATAAGGAAGGAGAGAAAGAAAGAGGAAACAAAATAAAGGAAGGAAGGAAAGATTTAGAGAAGGAAGAAAGGAGAGAAGGAAAGAAGAAAAGAGAAGGAAGGAAAGAAAGGGTAGGGAAGGTTGGCCACAGCAATGCGTGGTGGGTACAGCTAGTATAAGATATAAAAATGCAGTGTTCCTAGTTTGCAACCAACCTCACAACCTCTGAGGATGCTTGCCACAGATGCAGGCGAAACGTCAAGAGAGAATGCTTCAAGAACATGGCCATACAGCCCGAAAAACCTGCAACAATCCAATTGTGCTTTTCTTTTGTACTGCAGCTCCCACTGTTTCTCGCAGCTGGCTATGCTGGGAATTTTAGTCCTCTTGAAATTGAGACGTATCCCTGCCTTAGGCTTTTAGGAGTCTTGATTTCCCATCTGTATCAGGAGGTGTTTGGGATTTCTAGAATAGAACCAGGAGGTAATGGCTCTCTTTTTTCCAGGACTGCATCCGGGACATCACCGATTCCTTGATTGCCCAAAGCCAAGACAAGAAATTCCTGGCCAAAAGCAGCGTCCAGCTCCCTCAAGAGAAAATCGTCAACCTCGTGAATGACCTCGTTGGAGCTAGTAAGCCTCTTTCCTATACTTTATTTTTTTGTTCCACATCTGTTCCCACTCCCTCATTTGAACTGGTCTTCTTAAACCTCTCCTCTGGAGTCTTGCGACTGAAGGCTGTCTATTTCTTTCTGACGTGAACCTGGACAATATCAAGCAGAGATGTCTACAATCATCTAAATCTACATTTGCACGTTAATGATGTGTGACTTTTCCTACAGGTTTCGACACAGTGACGTCTGCCCTGTCTTGGAGCCTTATGTATCTGGTCAGTTACCCGGAAATTCAGAAGAAGATTCAAAAAGAAATAGGTCAGTGTCAGGTTGGGCAGAATCCTGCTGGGGACACACCAAAGGTATTCCTAAGAGGAATTAACGCTGGCCCTTTTTGCAAGAGCGTATTTTGGGGTGTATTATGGAGGGGAGCCAGCAAAGGGACCAACGGGCATCAAGACCAACGTACCAGGGAGTGCCAATGCATGCAGGTCGGGTGTCCAACTCTTAAAGAAATTCAGAATCCCAAGCACAATAATATACAGTCCGAGGTCAAGAAGCCATAAACCAGAAAAGAGTCCAAGCAGAAAAATAACAGAGCAGTTCGAAGGTCATAAATTCAATATATAAACAATTCACTAACAGAGTTTTATCCCAACTGTTGCATTGCTTTTTGTTGTTTATTCATTCAGTCGCTTCTGACTCCTTGGGACTTCATGGACCAGACCAGGCCAGAGCTCCTCCCTGTTGGCTGTGGCCACCCCCAGGGTCTCCTTCAGAGTCAATCCAGTCCCTTCAAGGATGCCATCCATCCATCTTGCCATTGGTCAGCCCTTCTTCCTTTTTCCTTCCTTTTTCCCCAGCATCATTGTCTTCTCCAAGCTTTTCTTTCTTCTCATGATGTGGCCAAAGGACTTCAACTTTGTCTCTAGTATCCTTCCCTCCAATGAGCAGTTGGGCTTTATTTCCTGACGTATGGACTGGTTGGATCTTCTCGCTGTCCAAGGCACTCTCAGAACTTTCCTTCAGCACCACAGTTCAAAAGCGTCTCTCTTCCTTCGCTCAGCCTTCCTTATGGTCCAGCTCTCACATCCATAGGTGACTACTATGGGGAAGACCATTGCTTTAACTATGCGGATCTTCATTGCCAGTGTGATGTCTCTACTCTTCACTATTTCATCCAGATTGGACATTGCTCTCCTCCCAAGAAGGAAGCATCTTCTGACTTCCTGGCTGCAGTCTGCATCTGCAGTAATTCTCTTCACTCCTAGAAATACAAAGTCTGTCCCTGCCTCCACATTTTCTCCCTCTATTTGCCAGTTATCAGTCAGTCCAGTTGCCATCATCTTGGTTTGTTTGATATTTGACTGCAACCCAGCTTTTGCGCTTTCTTCTTTCTCCTTGGTGAGAAGGCTCCTCAGCTCCTCCTCACTTTCAGCCATCAGAGTGGTGTCATCTGCATATCTAAGGTTGGTAATGTTTCCTCTGGCAATTCAAACTCCATCCTCATATTCATCAAGCCCCGCACATCGCATGATGTGTTCTGCACACATGTTGAGTAGGTTGGGGGAGAGTAGACAGCCTTGTCACTCTCCTTTCCCAATCATATATATATATATATATATATATATATATATATATATATATATCGCTTTTTCATCAAAAGTTTACCCCAATCTTGAACCAGTCGGTTGTTCCATGGTCAGTTCTGAATCTGACTGTTGCTACTTGGTCATTATACAGACTCCTCAGGAGATAGGCAAGGTGGTTTGGTCTCCCCATGCATATCACCAAGGACTTGGCACAGTTTGTTGTGATCCACACAGTGAAAGTCTTTAGAATAGTCAATAAAACAGAAATAGATGTTTTTTCTGGAACTCCCTACCTTCCTCCATTATCTAGCAGATGTTGGCAATTGGGTCTCTTGTTCCTCTGCCTTTTCTAAGTGCACATAAATTTCAGCATTCCAGGTTATTATTTTACTAATGACTGATGCCAACCACCTCTTCTCTCTTCCCTGCAGACCAGACCATTGGCAAAGAGAGGACCCCCAGGTTGTCAGACCGGGCTTTGTTGCCATATACTGAAGCCTTCATCCTGGAGGTGTTCCGACATTCCTCCTTTTTGCCTTTCACCATCCCCCACTGGTGAGTTTTCTTATCCCAGGTTTGGATTTCACAGCCTCATCACACTAGAGCATGGACCCACTTTAGATCCAGTTTCTGCCTCCTGCAGGATTTTGGGCTTTGGAGTTTAGTGAGTCCCAGGACCTGTCTGGCTGAGGGGTTTAAATGCCCCTCCCTAAACTCCAAGCCTCAGAATTCTGCAGGAGGTAGAAACTGGATTTAACGTGGATCCAGGGTCTAATGCAATATTTCCCAACCTTCCTAATGCCGCGCCCCCCTTAATCCAGTTCCTTGTGTTGTGGTGACCCCCAACCATAACATTATCTTCATTGCTACTTCATTACTGTAGTTTTGCTACTGTTATGAATCGTAATGTAAATATCTGATATGTGGGATGTATTTTCATTCATTGGACCAAATTCGGCACAAATATGCCCAAATTTGAATCCTGGTGGGTAGGGGGATTGATTTTGTCATTTGGGAGTTGTAGTTGCTGGGATTTATAGTTCACCTACAAACAAAGAGCATTCTGAACTCCACCAATGATGGAATTGAACCAAACTTGGCACACAGAACTCCCACAACCAACATAATGGAATGGTGTGGTGGGCATTGACTTTGAGTTTTGGAGTTGTACTTCACCTACATTTCAGAGAGCACTGTGGACTCAAACAATGATGGATCTGGACCAAACTTGGCAGAAATACTCAATATACTCAAATTTGAACAGTGGTGGAGTTTCTGGAAAATAGAAGTTGACATTTGGTAGTTATAGTTGCTGGGATTTATAGTTCATGTACAAACCAAGAGCATTCTGAACCCCACCAATGATAATATTGGGCCAAACATCCCATACAGAATCCCCATGCCTTGAAGGGACTTGCTGGTGTGAGCCTCCCTCCAGCCTCGCACACTCTCCCTCACCACACATGCACACCACATTGCGCCAAGCACGCCTGCTCTCCCCTTCCAGCTTGGAATATCAGAAAAAGCCCTCCCCTTGGCAGAGAGGTCAGCCAATGATAGCAAAGGAGGGCTTTTGATGGGAGGATTTGCCCTCTGTTTCTAATAAAGGAAGAGAAGGACAGGCAGAGAGATCTTCAGCCTTCTCTCCCAAGACCATCAGAAATATATGTTTTCTTGTGGGCTTTGGTGACCCCTGTGAAACCCCCTCACGACCTCCACCCATGGGTCCCACCCCCAGGTTGGGAAACACTGGACTAAAACCCAGAGGGATTCCCTGCCCTTGTTGACATGGGAGCCAGAAGAAAGCTCTACACTATTGGATTATATCATAGAATCATAGAATCATAGAAGTATAGAATCATAGAATCAAAGAGTTGGAAGAGACCTCATGGGCCATCCAGTCCAACCCCCTGCCAAGAAGCAGGAATATTGCATTCAAATCACCCCTGACAGATGGCCATCCAGCCTCTGTTTAAAAGCTCCAAAGAAGGAGCCTCCACCACACTCTGGGGCAGAGAGTTCCACTGCTGAACGGCTCTCACAGTCAGGAAGCTTCTTCCTAATATTCAGATGGCATCTCCTTTCTTGTCGTTTGAAGCCATTGTTCCGCGTCCTAGTCTCCAGGAAGCAGAAAACAAGCTTGCTCCCTCCTCCCTGTGGCTTCCTCTCACGTATTTATACATGGCTATCATCTCCTCTCAGCCTTCTCTTCTTCAGGCTAAACATGCCCAGCTCTTTAAGCCGCTCCTCATAGGGCTTGTTCTCCAGACCCTTGATCATTTTAGTCGCCCTCCTCTGGACACATTCCAGCTTGTCAATATCTCTCTTGAATTGTGGTGCCCAGAATTTGACACAATATTCCAGGTGTGGTCTAACCAAAGCGGAACAGAGATGTAGCATTACTTCCTTAGATCTAGACACGATGCTCCTATTGATGCAGGCCAAAATCCCATTGGCTTTTTTTGCTGCCACATCACATTGTTGGCTCATGTTTAACTTGTTGTCCATGAGGACTCCAAGATCTTTTTCACACGTACTGCTAGTTTTTCTCCCTTTTTCATTCTCTTGTGAGCAAAGTTCCTCAAAAATTCCATCAAACTCAATCATTCCATTCCTTCTTTTCACCCCAGCACAACCAAGGACACCTCCCTGAATGGCTTCTACATCCCAAAGGATCTGTGTGTCTTTGTCAACCAGTGGCAAGTCAACCATGATGAGTAAGTGAAGGGCAAGTGGACAACAATCTCCATGTCCCTTTGTAATACGCAGCTCTTAGTTTGCAAGTTAAGACCATGCTGGTGTCCTCTTTTTGTTTCAGGACACTTTGGGAGGATCCGTCCACCTTCCACCCCGACCGTTTCTTTTCTGCCAACGGGACCGAAATCAACAGAGCAGAGAGCGAGAAGGTGATGATCTTCGGAATGGGGAAGAGGAGGTGCATTGGGGAAAATCTGGCCCGTTGGGAGGTCTTCCTCTTCCTGACCACTTTACTTCAGCGGTTGGAGTTCACGGCGTCTGATGGAAAGGGTGTCAACATGACCCCTGAGTACGGACTCGTCATGAAGCCTAAAAAATGTGAGAACCTCCAGGTCAGGGAACGGGTCCCAAGGCAGAGCTCAGACTGACTCCCTATAGACTAGTGTCTCTCAACCTTCCTAATGTCGCGACCCCTTCAATACAGTTCCTCGTGTTGTGGTGACTCCCAACCATAACATTATTTTCGTTGCTACTCCATAACTAATTTTACTACTTTTGTGAATCGCAATGTAAAGATTTGATATGCAGGATGTATTTTTATTCACTATTCACTGGTACAAATACCTGATACGTCCAAATTTGAACACTGGTGGGGTTGAGGGGGATTGATTTTGTCATTTGGGATTTATAGTTGCTGGGATTTATAGTTCACCTACAATCAAAGAGCATTATGAACTCCACGAATTATGGAATTTAACCAAACCTGGCACACAGAACTCTCATGACCAACAGAAAATACTGGAGGGTTGGGGAGTACAGGGCCTTTTTCATGATATTCCAAAGAAGGCTTTAATTAACTATTATTGTGGCTCCTGAACAACACTAACAGTAGGTTCTTGTGGGTTTTCCAAAAGACCTCACTACCTCTGAGGATGCTTGCCATAGATGCAGGCGAAACGTCAGGAGAAATGCCTCTAGAACATGGCCATATAGCCCGAAAAACCCCACAAGAACTGAGTGATTCCAGCCATGAAAGCCTTCGACAATACATTAATACTGGAAGGGTTTGGTGGGCATTGACCTTGAATGTGGGAGTTGTCGTTCACCTACATCAAGAAGGCACTGTGGACTCAATGATAGATCTGGACTAAACTTGGCACAAATACTCAACATGCCAAAATGTGAACATTGGTGGAGTTTGGGGAAAATAGACCTTGACATTTGGGAGTTGTAGTTGCTAGGATTTATAGTTCACCTATAATCAAAGAGCATTCTGAACTCCACCAATGATGGAACTGAACCAAACTTGGCACACAGAACTCCCATAATCAACGGAAAATACTAGAAGGCTTTGGTGGGCATTGACCTTGAGTTTGGGAGTTATAGTTCACCTACATCGAGAGGGCACTGTGGACCCAAACAATGATGGATCTGGACCAAACTTGACATGGATGCCCAAATGTAAATATTGGTGGAGTTTAGGAAATAGACTTGGCATTTCAGAGTTGTAGTTTGGATTTTATAGTTCACCTACAATCAAAGAGCATTCTGAACTCCACCAGCAATGGAATTGAACCAAACTTGGCACACAGAACTCCCATGACCAAAAGAAAATACTGGAAGGGTTTGGTGGGCATTGACCTTGAGTTTTGGAGTTGTAGTTCACCTACATCCAGAGAGCACTGTGGACTCAAACAATGATGATCTGGACCAAACTTGGCACAAATACTCAATATGCCCAAATGTGAACACTGGTGGAGTTTGGGGAAATTGACCTTGACATTTGGGAGTTGTAGTTGCTGGGATTTATAGTTCACCTACAATCAAAGAGCATTCTGAACTCCACCAAATTTGGAATTAATCTTCCCATACAGAACCCCCTGCCTTGAGGGGACTTGCTGACATGAGCCTCCCTCCAGCCTCACACACTCTCCCTCACCCACATATGCGCACCACGCTGCCATGTGCCAAGCACACCCGCTCTCCCCTCCTCGCTTGGAGACTTAGAAGTCGAGCTGATTTCCCAAATTACTTTACCAACTGAGTACATATATCCTTCTCACTTTTTCCCATTTTTTCTTTCTGTTCTCGTTTGAAATCAGTTCGCCACACAAAAAATAAATGTATCTTTAAAAATAAATAAATTATCTAAACTTTATGATATGTTATGTGTGACTTTTTGCATGGGGTTTTAACTAGTGGCTGTCCAGATCCTGAACACCCGGTGCTTGGCAGCTGCGACTGGATGAGGGTGAACCATTTGAAACTGAATCCAGACAAGACAGAGGTCCTCCTGGTCAGTTGCAAGATCAAACAGGGCATAGGGTTACAGCCTGTGTTGGATGGGGTTACACTCCCCCTGAAGACGCAGGTTTGCAGCATGGGAGTTTTCCTGGACTCATCACTGAGCCTGGAACCCCAGGTTTTGGAGGTGGCCAAGGGAGCTTTCGCACAATTAAAACTTATGTGCTAGTTGTGCACGGATCTTGAGAAGTCTGACTTGGCCACAGTAATCCACACTCTGGTTACATCCCAGATGCACTCTATGTGGGGTTGCCTTTGAAGACTGTTCGGAAGCTCCAAATGGCCCAATGGGCGGCAGCCAGGTTGCTCACCGGAGCGACGTACAGGGAGCATACAACCCCCCTGTTGCATCAGCTCTGCTGGCTGCCAGTTTGCTACTGAGCACAATTCAAAGTGCTGGCTTTGGCCTATAAAGCCCTAAACCAGTAGTTTCCAACCTTTTTTAGATCAGACACCACTCTCCCACATTAGTACCAAAAGAGTTATGAATCAGTTTTTGGTCAACTTTAGATTTGGGGTGCTGATTCAGAAAATTGTATTGGATAGACCACATCAGCTCTATTTATTTATTTATTTCCAGTATTTATATTGTGCCCTTCTCACTCAGGGCGGATTACAATGTACATATACATGGCAAACATTCAATGCCCTAGACACACAACATATATAAACAGACACAGAGGCTATTTAACATTCCAGCTTTTTGATGAGGGTATTCTGGCCACCAGGGGAGCTGTCGCTTCACTGCCCATTTGTGACACTGATGGAGTACTTCCTCATTCTTTCCAGGCTTGCTGGAGATTTTTATGGCACTGAAAATTAGTTAAATTGAAAGGAGGAAATATGGACTATGGTTAAGTAAGAAGAACGGAAGTCGCACTAGGGTTTGGGTGTGTTTGGGATTTTATGTTTTTGTTGTTTTGTTTGTGTGTTGGTGACATTGGTATTAGTCGGGTGGTGGGTGATTTTTCTTTTCATTTGTGAGGTAGTATCTTGGTGGAAATATTTTATGATTGTTTTATTGTAAACCTTTGGTGAAAAATCAATAAAAATTAATTTAAACAAAAGAAAAAAAAAGAAAATTAGTTAAATTAGCCTCCCCGCGTAGGCGGTACCCAAATTTCCTACTTGACAGATGCAACTGTCTTACAGACTGCAAAGGTCGACAGCAAGCTACACAAATTGGTCGGAAGCTCACTCCAACCCAGGCTGGCTTCGAACTCATGACCTTTTGATCAGTAGTGATCTTAATGCAGCTGACTCCCAGCCAGCTGCACCACAGTCCCGGCACTTGTTTCTGATACAGAACACATGCCATAGTCACCTTAAATACCAGAATTACCTGTATGTCACGTTAAAGTCTGCACATGTCATATGGATATCCAGAAGCAATCTCTGGTCTACTTTGGGATGTTTGGGTGAAAGGGACTTTGACTTTTGACTCATCCCTTGTCAAATCCCCTTTGAGCCATTTATTGCCTTTTCGATGTTTGAATTATGTGGGTTTTGCCATACTTTTGATTGGACAAAGCCAAGCCAATCACATTGTTGAAAGGCTCATGGCAACACAATGCGAGACCTTTGCAGGTCTCCTTATCTAACCGAGCCAAGAATGCTGTCTGCAGAGACAAGAATTGCAGCTTTTGCGTTGTTTGAACTGGACCAGTAAAGCCAGTGGTGCAGGTAAGTGCGCTATGGTTGACAATAGGATATTTCCTCAACAGGCGTCCTTCAGTATTTCTGAAGCTTCTTTGCTGTTTCCCTCATTCTTCCAAGTCTTGCAGTTCCTATGAAAAATGATGTATCGTCAGAGCAGAAGTGGAAGCAACTAATCCATTAATAACACTATGTAACAAAATTTGAAAAAAATATTCTGTTCCTGGTTTGAAAGTGTTGTTTCCTGTTTAATTGTGTAGTATTTAACACACAAACAAAGTTTTACTCCAGAAACTTGTTTTTCTGGCTACAAACCATGTTGAATTGGTTGAGATATTATTATTTATTGAAAAACTAGAGCAAAATGCGCCACAGGATGTCCTGAGAAAATGAAGTTTTTGCAGTTCAATGTTTTCCGTATTTTATGATAGAACCAATTATAAAATGGCATTTATGACCTAGGAACGAAAATCGTGTTACATAATGTAATCAAATAAGCTGAGATATGGATGGAGGATGATGAGCAACAATTTTAGTGTGACGACTGACCATTATAGTTATTGATTGTAATTGCTGTTTTAATGTTTTACTGTAATATGTATTATGATGTTTTATTGATTGTATGTGATATTATGGTTGGAAACCGGTCTGAGTCCCTCAAGAGAGGTGAGAAGGCCGGTATACAAAACTTTTAAATAAATAAATAAAAAGTGAAGTCTTTTTAAGAGGGAGACCGACTGTAATATGTTGGCGGAAAACCATCTGGTCCTGGGATTTTTCCAGATTTTAAACTCTTTATTGCATTATTTCCTTCTGACACTCTAATTTGAACACTTAATATTTCCATGTGTTTGTGCATGAATGTCATAAAATTCTCTCATTCAAACAATTGTTTGTCTTCCCTTTGTTAAAATTCTGTGCTTAAAAAATGATAATTGGTATTATTTCAAAAAATACTTTTTATTTCCAGCAATGTCTGTTATTACCGGACTTACTGTCTTATTTTTCAGATTCATTTCTTTCTTCTTTCTCAAGTCAATAGTAGACCAATCATTTTCTTGGTTTGTTAGCAAATTAAAAACGTTTCAGTTTATCCAATTTCATTCCCCTACCTGCATTTTTCCCACTTTATTTATTGTAAGCTGTTGGTAAAAACAGTATTTGAATCAACTAATCATTTAACTTCTGATTTCTTCCAGAATCCTTTGTGTTTTTTTTTCCAGTTTTCTCTTTCATGATTGTGTAGTTCTATCAATCTGTGGATTACCATATATGCCCAAGTATAAGCTGACCTGAACATAAGCCGACGCACATAATTTTACCACAAAAAACTGGGAAAACATATTAACTCAAGTATAAACCAAGGGTGGGAAATGTAGCAGCTACTAGTAAATTTCAAAATAGAAATAGATACCAATAAAATTACATTAATTGAGGCATCAGTAGGTTAAATGTTTTTGAATATTTACATAAAATTGTAATTTAAGATAACACTGTCCAACTTTGATTAAACAATTATTCTAACCTTCCTCAATGTAAATACACTCACGTATCCTTTAAATAATAATAGAGTAAAACAATAAATGTAATAAAAATAATAATAGAGTAAAATAATAAATGTAATAATAACAATAATAAATAGAGTAAAATAATAAATTTAATAACAATAATAATGAAGTAAAATAATAAATCTCATAATAATGATAGAGTAAAATAATAAATGTAACAATAATAACAATAGAGTAAAATAATAAATATGATGATAATAATAAATAGAGTAATATAATAAATGTAATAAAATAATAATAGAGTAAAATAATATACATGTAATAATAATAATAATAATAATAATAATAATAATAATAATAACAGAGTAAAATAATAAATAACTTTGGCTCGAGGGGTGGAGGCTTATGATGGAGTCAAATGGAATAAATAGAATTTGTTTTATAAGGATCAAGTAGACAGAACATATTGTAAAGAGCAAAAATAACTTTCTGGCTGTTCATCGCACATTTTAGTGCAAATATTAAGACAAATTAGGCTTATATTCGAGTATATACAGTAATTATTTCATTGCAAACTCCATGAAAAGGCCATAATCCATAAATGGAATTTGTTTCATAAGAATCAAGTAGACAGAACATATTGTAAAGAAGAAAAATAACTTTCTGGCCTTGCATTGCACATTTTAGTGCAAATGTTAAGACAAATTCGGCTTATATTCGAGTATATACGGTCATTATGTCATTGCAAACTCCATAAAAAGGTTATAATCCATAGAGAAGATCTAACAGCTTTTTCCCTTAACTAATTTTACTAAATTGTCTTTTAGTCCTCATTTGAGTAAACCTGTCAGATCCATTCGCTTTATTTATGTGTTGAATCATCATTTCTTAATTTAAAGAATGCTCTAATTGAGGTTAGCCGAAAGGTTTTTGGACATTCCCTGTTGACACTACATCTTTGCCTGTTTTTTTTTTTGTGGTCAAATGTTGGTAGATCTGCAATGTTAACGTTGGAAATGTCATCCATGGAAGTCCTGGGTCATATCACGGCCACAGAAGCCCTCATTGCCACGGCTGTTTTCTGCTTGCTCTTCATGTATGTGAAGTCCTTCAAGAATCAGATTCCCAAGGGTTTGAAGAAAATCCCTGGACCCATAGGATACCCAATGATTGGCAACGCATTGCAGATGGGGAAGCATCCTCACCTGAGCCTGACACGGATGAGCCAGAAATATGGAGACGTGATGATGATCCATATTGGCAACACGCCGGTGTTAGTGCTGAGCGGGCTGAGGACCATTCACCAGGCTTTGGTGAGGCAAGCAACCGAGTTCATGGGACGTCCCGACCTTTATAGCTTCCGTTGCATCACCAATGGGGAGAGCCTGGGTTTTGGCCGGGACTCCGGCGAAGTGTGGCGCGCCCGGCGTAAAATGGTCCAGAATGCCCTCAAGACCTTTGCTACCTCCCCGAGTTCCAATTCCTCTTCCACATACCTCGTGGAAGAACATGTCTCCAAAGAGGCCGACTATCTGATCACCAAGTTCGAAGAGCTGATGCTGGAGAAAGACTCCCTCGATCCCTATGAGCACATCTTGATCTCCACGGCCAACGTCATTTGCGCCATGTGTTTCAGCAAGTGCTACAGCCATGACGATGAGGAGCTCCTCGGCATCGTCAGCATCAGCGAGAAGTTTGTGGAAGTGGCCACCTCTGGCAACCTGGCCGATTTCATTCCGCTGCTTCGATATCTTCCAATGAACAGCATGAAGATGTTTCATGAATTCAATCGAAGGTTCTTCACTTTCCTGCTCAAGGGGATTCAAGAGCACTACGAGAGTTTCAGTAAGGTAAGGAGGGAAGACTAGCAATAATATCTATATATATAAAATGGAAAAGGGCGTCGTAAGGGGCCGCAAAACGCGAAAACCCCCGGACGAAAAAACATCAAACTTGGCGGACGCATACCTCAAACCACAAGGTATGCACAACACTCATCACAACACAAAAAAAAATACAACAAACTCACCATCACAAAAAGAAACAGAGCATGCGCAGAGGTGTCCCGGCACGAGCCGCCTGCCGCGCGCACATGGCTGGACCACCCCCTCTGCGCATATGCCATCCTTCCCTCCTCCCCCTCTTCCTCCTCCGCCGCCCACGCCCCCTCCGAGAAAGCCACGCCCCCACCCACTGCCGCCCCGCCCCTACCCGCCCATACGCCATCCTTCCCTCCTCCTCCTCCTCCCCCGCCACGCCCCTCTGAGAAAGCCACCCCCTCCCTTCACTGCTCCGCCCCTTCCCGCACTGATGCAATCCTTCCCTTCTGCCCCTCCTCCGCCAGTCACGCCCCTTCCCAGGAAACTACGCCCCCTCCAATCCCCGCCCCATCCCTTCCCGCCCTGACCCAATCCATCCCTCCTCCCCATCTCCCTCCACCGATGGAAGGAAGGAATGAGGTAGAAAAGGAAGAAATGAGGCACCACCGACTGCTCTGGCCAGAGAGAAGACAGAGGGGAGCAGAAGACACTGCCATCTTGTCTTCTGCCTATATCATCACTTCAGAGGCCCCTCCCCCTTCTGGCACCAACGACTGCTCTGTCCAGAGAGAAGACAGAGGGGAGCAGAAGACACTGCCATCTTGTCTTTACTAATAATATAATATAGTATATTGTATATACGTATAATATTTATAATATTATAATGTAATACAATATAATACTAGTAATAATAATTCAATATTATAATTATAATTATATATTTAATTACATGTAATATTACTAATAATATTACAATATAATGGTATAGTGCAATATAGTAATATATACTGATATTGTACTTTGCTAATAATATAATATATTGTATGAAAATATATATTGTAAGCCGCTCTGAGTCCCCTTCGGGGTGAGAAGGGCGGCATATAAATGCGCAAATAAATAATAATAAATAATAATAAATTAAAATCTAGCTTAATAGGAGAGAAGGAAGAAAGGAGAGAAAGAGGGATGGAAAGAAAGAGGTAGAGAAGGAAAGAAAAAGGGGAAGGAAAGAGGTAGAGAAGGAAGAAGAGAGAAAGAGGGATGGAAAGAAAGAGGTAGAGAAGGAAAGAAAAAGGGGAAGGAAAGAGGTAGAGAAGGAAGAAAGGAGAGAAAGAGGGATGGAAAGAAAGAGGTAGAGAAGGAAAGAAAAAGGGGAAGGAAAGAGGTAGAGAAGGAAGAAGAGAGAAAGAGGGATGGAAAGAAAGAGGTAGAGAAGGAAAGAAAAAGGGGAAGGAAAGAGGTAGAGAAGGAAGAAAGGAGAGAAAGAGGGATGGAAAGAAAGAGGTAGAGAAGGAAGAGAGAAGGAAAGAAAAAAGGGAAAGAAAGGAAGGAAAGAAGGAGCAAGGAAGGGGGAAGGAGAGAAGAGGGAGGGAAGGAAGAGGAAAGAGAGAAGAAGAAAAGAGAGACAGAAAGAAAAAGGAAGAAGGGAGAAAGAGGGAGCAAAGGAAGGGAAAGATGTAGAGAAAGAGGGAGGGAAGGAAAGAAGGAAAGGGAGCAGGAAGCATGGAAGACAGGAGAGAGAAAGAAAAGGGGAAGGAAGGAAAGCGATAGAGAAGGAAGGAAAGAGAGAAGGAAAGACGGGAAGGAAGGAAGGAAACAGAGAGTGAAGGAAGGAGGGAAAGGGGAGATAGGGGGAAGGTTGGCCACAGCAACGCGTGGCAGGTACAGCTAGTATATATATATAAATGCTCTGGGCGTAATGAGTACCTTAAAAACAAAAGAACCAATGAATGAAATCACACCAAATTTGGCAACAAAATGTCTCACAACACAAGGAGTGACCATCACTCAAAATTTATGATTTTATCGTTTGGGAGTTTTAGTTGCTGGGATTTATAGTTCACCTACAATCAAGAAGAATTCTGAACTCCATCAACGATGGAATTAAACCAAACTTGGCACACAGAACTCCCATGACCAACAGAAAATACTGGAAGGTTTTGGTGGGCATTGACCTTGAGTTTGGGAGTTGTAGTTCACCTACATCCAGAGAGCACTGTGGACTCAATCAATGATGGATCTGGACCAAACTTGGCACAAATACTCATATGCCCAAATGTGAATACTAGTGGAGTTTGGGGAAAATAGACCTTGACATTTGGGAGTTGTAGTTGATGGGATTTATAGTTCACCTACAATCAAAGAGCATTCTGAACCCCACCAAAGATAGAATTGGGCCATTGGCACACAGAACTCCCATGACCAACAGAAAATACTGGAAGAGTTTAGTGGGCATTGATCTTGAGTTTGGGAGTTGTAGTTCACCTACATCCGAGAGAGTACTGTGGACTCAACTGTGGACTGACACAATGATGGATCTGGACCAAACTTGGCACAAATACTCAGTATTCTAAATGCGTACACTGGTGGAGTTTGGGGAAAATAGGTCTTGACATTTGGGAGTTGTAGTTGCTGGGATTCACCTACAATCAATAAGTAAAATACTATATTTTCTGTTGGTCATGGGGGTTCTGTGTGGGAAGTTGGACTCAATTCTGTTATTGGTGGGGTTCAGAATGCTCTTTGATTGTAGGTGAACTATAAATCCCAACAACTGCAATTCCCAAATGTCGCAGTATTAGGGAGATTGAGACCCACTGCCTTAAAGTGTATATTCCCATGTGGATGGATGTTTACTCAATACAATCCTAGTTTGCTAATGGTACAAGTTACTAAATAACTGAGATCTGCTATGTTAAGAAAAACACAGGGAATATTCCTTTTCAGGACAGTATCCGGGACATCACCGATTCTCTCATCGAACAAAGCCAGAAAATGTTTTCTACCTCATCTGAAAACCTAGTCAGTCTTCTCAATGACCTTTTTGGAGCTGGTAAGAATATTTTCTAGAGAGGTTAACCAACATTAAGGTTGAAGGGTTCCTTTGTAACTCAAAACCATGCTAAGATCAAGATGAGATATAGACTGAAAGTTCCTGCAAAGTTCCTGCAAGTATTCGTGGCACAATGAATTGGCTCTGGATTGAAAGTGCTGAATGCCATTCCCAAAGAACCTTAGCACCTTGGGAAGCTCTTACAATGTTCTTTAACTCCCAGTAAGTAAATCCTGTCAATACATTTCTAGGATTGCCATAAATTAGGGTTGACTTCAAGGAGCTATGAATAACTTTGCAATAACATTAACACATAGGTTCCTTTTATTGCAATTTTCCAGTAAGAGAAAGGGCATCAGAACTTTTACACAAAGAACAACATTGGACATACAGACATACAGATTCTATGTAAATATGGAATTCACAAACAACGTACAGTTATGTTGGCTAACAAATAAACAAAGGGGTGGGTTACATTTTTACTTAGTATTCAAGTTTTACCCATACACATTCATTCATCCTCATGCATCCAAATATTATCGTATCCTTTCTCCCTGCTTGGAGAAGCATCTGCTTAGGCCAGACCCTGCTTTCCCTGCAGCCTGACAATGCACAGTTCCAAAATTTCCAAATGCCAAAATGCCAAAACATGTCCTTTCCCTGAGAAAGAAGCAAGAGACCAGACTTCTGCTTTCCATCGCAGATCTGCCACTCCCAAAGGTACACCATCACTTTTCATAGAGCATGGTCGGTGAACAACACAGCTGTCTGTCACAATTTTGGAATATTAGACGGTATTAGAATGATAGATGTTTCTCCAGCCTAAAACATCCTAGCTTCATCTCAGTTCCTGGTAGATATTGGCTCTTCTTAATTGGTGTTGGTAAATGTAAGGAGCCTTGTGTTGACTTCTTTGTAATGTAAGTTACCTGGTAAACATTTCCTAATGTATTGTCGAAGGCTTTCATGGCCGGAATCACTGGGTTGTTGTAGGTTTTTTTGGGCTATATGGCCATGTTCTAGAGGCATTCTCTCCTGACGTTTCACCTGCATCTATGGCAACCATCCTCAGAGGTTCATGAAGAACAAAGTCAACACAAGGCTCCTTACGTTTACCAACACCAAAAAAGGAGAGTCAACATTTGCCAGGAACTGAGATGAAACCAGGATGTTTCAGGCTAGAAAAACATCTATCATTCATCTACAACTTAGGAACAACATCAGCAAGAACTATTCCTATATAAGAGATCATCTAACATTCCAAAATTGTGGTAGATCAGAGGAGTCTGGCCCACCTGCTGCTCTTCTCCTTGGGAAGGAGAGAGATGCTATACCTTTGGGAGTACCAGAGCTGCAATGAAACGTAGCCTGATCTCTTGCTCCTTTTTGCATCTATGGCAGGCATCCTCAGAGATTGTGAGGTCTGTTGAAAATTAGGAAAATTGGGTTTATATATCTGTGAAATAATGTCCAGGGTGGGAGAAAGAACTCTTGCCTATCGGAGACAGGTGTGAATGTTTCAATTGGCCACCTTGATTAGCTCTCAACAAAGGATTCCCCCTGGCCGTAAGAAGCTAGACCTTGAAAACTGCTAGGCCATTAAGTGCCTGCCACAGATGCAGGGGAGAATGCTTCTTGAACATGGCCATACAGCCTGAAAAACCTACAACAACCCACATTTCCTAAACTTACAGAGCCATTGTCTCTAATAATGTAAACACGTTGTTTCCCCCAAAAAGTTAATCAAGTCAGCAATGTCAACAGTTAATCATTGTCACAGGTCATCAATGTCAGCAGTTCAGCAACTTTTAATTACAGTCCCTGAATTCTTCACTTCCTTCTTGTAGATTTCCAGGCTTCAATCTTTTTAGAATGGCATCTCTAGACTATATATAGACCCCAACCATACATCTTTCATACAATTCCATTCAAACCATACATCATATTTCACAACAAAGGCATCAAATAGTGTATCAAATGGAAATGAAAAACCCTGGTGGGACAAACTCCAACCTCACAGAAGGAAGACTTTTGGCTTAATCCCTTTGGTAGATGAATCTGTTGGAGCCGTTAGCAATTTATAATGTAGATTTCAAAGTATGTATGTATGTATGTTTAAAATGCAGTAGCTATGTGCTGAGTGCATTCCTTTGTGGAAAGAGTTAACTGAACCATGGAGGGAACGGCATTGCTAGAGAGGTCATAAATCAAGTGTATAGAACAAATGGACACAGTGTCATACATCATACATCACTCTGGAATTCAAGAGGTGTAGACTAGTACTGATAACAGCAGTTCGTGTGTTTGCCATGTTACGATCGGATGGTGTAGAAGCAAGATTTACGATGTGCTTAGAGTTAAGTAGTTTCTGATGTACATAGCTGTAAAATAAAGTAGTTTATAGCCTAAGGTGGCTGTGATCGATCTGTTCCTGCCTTGCTGTGCAGCCAATGCCACTGACAGAATGAATGCTTATGTAAAATGCCTTGATTCAGTGGGTCTACTCTAGCTAAGGTTCTCAATAAGGTTTAAGTGTTTTTCTGCTGCCTAATACTATCCTTTCTATGCATCTGAACAGCATTTGACACAGTGTCTACTGCTATGTCCTGGTGCCTTATGTACATTGTCATTCACCCTGATGTCCAGAAGAAGATCCAAGAAGAAATAGGTAAACTTGGGTGCTGAACATCACTGGGCCTACTGCTAGGCTGAGTGAGTTCCCAGCAGATGCTGGGAGGTGGAACCAACGTTTTGGTGGAGACCTCTCCCATGTGGCTCCCAAAAAGTGTAGTGGAGGTTGCAATGGTAGCAATCGGCTTCTTTATCAGTGCAATGGTTAATCTACTTCACTGTTTTCTCCTCTATTTTCCATCCTGTAGATGAGGTCATTGGCAGAGCACGGAAACCCCGGCTATCGGACCGACCTCTGATGCCTTATACCGAAGCTTTCATTCTGGAAGTGTTCAGACACGCCTCGTTTAACCCCTTCACAATTCCCCACTGGTGAGTCCTCTTCTTGTTGAAGGCACAAGATCCTGTTTGTTCTTGGAAAGTTGAAATTCAGTAAGCAATTGTCTATTTAACTGTCAAAGAAAGACATTTATACTCCAGGTCCATGAATCTGCTGTCTCACCAATAAATAGCTCCTGAATTGTGGTTTTTTTCACCCCCTGTCCATTGTGTATTCCTGCTGGCCTTGGCTCCCGTGAAATATGATCTCCACTCTATGTTCCTTTGCTTTCCTTCCTCCTCACCTCTGCCAGTTATTTGTGGTCTTTCAAAAAATAAATTTCATTCCTTTTTCTGTTTTCAGCACAACCAAGGAAACCGTCTTAAATGGCTACTATATCCCAAAGGACACCTGCGTCTTCATCAACCAGTGGCAAGTCAACCATGATGAGTAAGTTGACCCAGAGCCTTGAAGAACCAGTTATTCTCCATCCAAAGTTTGGAAGAAATTCCTCTTGTGGACTACATCTCCCAGTATTCTTGTGCCAGGATGGATATTGGCAAAAAATCTGGTTATTGTAATCCCCACTAAAGGAACTTTGTATTAAAAGTGTGCAAGCACGCCAGTGGCAGCTGTTGGGTTCAATACCATGGATGATGGTGACTCTTCTGCTTAGTGTTTTAGTTCAGACTTTTAAAGGACTTGTTGAGGAGGCTAAACCCATTTGAAGTATGGTTGAATTTTGTGGAAAACCTCCACATTTTCGACTAAAGCTATACGTATATTCACTGCCTTCCTGACATGGAAATCACTGGGGGAGCCAAGAGAGAGGGAAAAGTCATGTGGTCACTGTTGCTTTGCCTGCTGCTTTTAGTAACGCTGTAATGAAAGATAATGGTAGATCTCATTATCTTTCCCATTAAACCCATTGCGGTGGTGCAATGGGTCAAACCTTTGTGCTGCTGAACTGCTAACCTGAAGGTTGCCAGTTTGAATCTGCGGGATGGGGTGAGCTCCCGCTGTTAGCCCAGCTCCTGCCAACCTAGCAGTTCAAAAATGTGCAAACGTGATTAGATAAATAGGTACCACTTTGGCAGGAAAGGCATAAGACACTTCAAGCCATTGTGCTGGTCACACGACCAGGAGATGACAACGCAGCTTCCTTGGCTTGGAAATGGAGAAAGCACCTCCAAAGCTGGAAATGAAAGGAGAAGCCTTTGCCTTTGTTTATGTTTGTGTGTCTCATTGTATTATAACAAGGCATTGAATGTTTGCCAGTATTTGTTTACGTTGTAATCTGCTCTGAGTCCCCACAGAGAGAAGGGCGGAATATAAATAAAGTGCTATTATTATTATTATTATTATTATTATTATTATTATTATTATTATTATCCATCCCCTGCCATGCATTGCTGTGGCCCAGTCTGGTGATCTGGAAAATAGTGAGAAGGTGTTAATTTCTAATATATGTAATGTCTTGATGCTTGTGGGTAAACAGTATTTCTTGTTGTGTTGATGTGGAGATTGTCTGGTTTGCCTACTCTGAAACATGCAACATATAATTGTCCTCTTTTAGGGGTCCCTTTCAAATCTATGATACTATATATCTCTCTCTCTGTGAATCATATATATCTATATCTATGGCTGGATGGCTCTTTGTCAGGAGGGCTTTGATTACATTTTCTTGCCCTGGCGAAGGAAGTATTTCCTGTTGGTCATGGGGGTTCTGTGTGGGAAGTTTGCCCAATTCTGTTGTTGGTGGGGTTCAGAATGCTCTTTGATTGTAAGTGAACTATAAATCCCAGCAACTACAACTCCCAAATGTCAAGGTCTATTTTCCCCAACTCCATCTGTGTTCATATTTGGGCATATGGAATATTCATGCCAAGTTTGGTCCAGATCCATCATTGTTTGAATCCACAGTGCTCTCTGGATGTAGGTGAACTACAACTCCCAAACTCAAGGTCAATGCCCACCAAACCCTTCTAGTGTTTTCTGTTGGTCATGGGAGTCCTGTGTGCCAAGTTTGGTTCAATCCCATCATTAGTGGAGTTCAGAATGCTCTTTGATTGTAGGTGAACTATAAATCCCAGCACCTACAACTCCCAAATGACAAAATCAATTTTTGTGAGTGATGGCCATTCCTTGGGTTAGAAAGTGTCTTGAGGCCAAATTTGGCAGCAATTCATCCAGTGGTTTTTGAGTTATGTTAATCCCACAAACGAACATTACACTTTTCTTTATATAGATTATTATTATTGAGACATGAATCCACCCCAGGTTTCAGTCCAAGAGCAATCTAAGATTCCAAATTCTAACTCAACATTTTTAACATTTTGATATGGAATGGATTCAGTGCCCCGTTGGCCTCAGATTGCCAACGAGG